ATTCATCATGCAATGTTTGATGGAGCATCAACATCAATCTTCATTCGTGATCTTTCTCTTGCTTATCAATCTGATGACTCATTATTTATGGGTCATAACTCGTTGGAATATATAGATTATTCTGTTCATGAGCATATCATGGATATGTCATTATCTCGTGAATTCTGGCATTCTCAACTTGAAAGATACAACATGGAATGTTCATTATCATTACCCTTTGATCGACAACCTTCATCAACTAATCAACAACGATCGGGTTTAGCATCCATAGCTGAAATCATTTTCGATAACGATATATGCACATCATTTCTAAACTATGCATCATCACATCATCTCACACTTTTTCAACTTGGATTATCCACATTTTATGTTTTCCTATTCAAACTATCCCATGGTGGGACTGATTTATGTATTGGTTCTATTAATGCCAATCGATATCGAAATGAACTACAAAATCTGATTGGAATGTTTGTTTCAACATTGCCATATCGTTTAGAAATCGATTCTCATTGGTCATTTGACGAACTTGTTAAATATGTACGAGAGAAATGCTTATCAATTCTTGAACATTCTCATTATCCACTTCAACGTATTCTTGATGATAATGAATTAAATCAATCAAATGTATCATTTCTTGAGACAATGTTTGATTTTATCACTGTGTCAAAAGATATGGGACATTTAAGTTTGAATGATGCAAATTTAGAGCGAATATCATTAGAACAATCAGTTGAAATGTCTAAATTTGACTTCTCATTAACATTTGTATACAATCCATCATCCCATAACAAGAGATTATTATGTAGTTTTGTTTGTTCACGTGATTTGTTTGAAAAATCAACTATTTCAAAAATAGCTCAAAGATTTCAGTATATGTTTGAGCAACTGTTTCAAACACAATCAAGCAACATTCCTGCTATAAATGCGAGTTCATCGATTAACAAAGTGTGTCTTATTCTTCCTGAGGAAGCTGAAGAAATGGATTTGGTCGTGTTTCATCGATTGGAGAATATTGTGAATGAAGGTATGGTTGTATGCAACTTGTTTTATTGTTCTATAAAAGTAGTAGTGAGTTGAATCAATATTGAGAAAATAGGGACTCAAATGAGTTGTGATCGACTTTGACTCAGATAGTCTTTTTCAGGTGCACTAGTTTTGTGACTTTTAAGGAGAGATCGCTGATGACTATCTGCTTTGAATATGTGAATAGTCTTTTATTTTTATATTAATCGACAAAAAGGAGCAGTTACCATTGCTCTAAAGTTGTATATTTCGTTTTTGGAAATAGAACACCTATATCAGTAGAATCTATCATAAGTCAGTTTATATATAAACTGGCACTCTCTCAGAACTTAGATACGCTCGTAGATTTCACGTCAGAAAACAAGTCACACTTAAGTTGCTCAGACTGTTGAACAGAGTCGGTAAAATCCAGAGATTGTCATTGGCAAGACTAGTCCTCTTTGACTTATAAGTAACCTAAGTATGTGATAGGTCTCTAGTTATCGGTAATAAATTATCGAAGTTTTCGGATGTTGAAACTAAAATCGAAGTAAAAAATTAAAAATTCATGGAATCGGATTTGGAACCACAGGGAAGAAGCTTTTTGGAGTTATAGTGGGCGTGTATAGTTCTCTTGCGTCAAACAGGTCTATTTGCTTTTGTTTTCTTCCGATGTTATATATAAAGCTGGTACAAAGATATTTATGTTGTTTTCACTGGTTAGATGTACGTGTGTAGATTGTAAAAATTGTCAAACATTGGCAGTATATAGCCCTTAGCAGTTATTTAGATATCTATCAAATCATTTTATGATTCCATAAACGATGCCACATTTACGTATGATAGTTGAAGCTTTCATTATGCATACTCCTATTGATTATACTCCTTACTGCATATGAATATTTTGTTTAGATTCTTCTATAATACTGCTACAGATGTTTTAGTTTCAGACTAGTAACTAAAGCTGTTTGTGATCTAGTAATATATGTCAAAAGAAATAGAATCGCATAAACTTATTTCTAAATAAATTTTTATATAGTAGCTATGACGATTTCATCACATAACCCTATATATGTATTTCAAATATATTATAATACTGTTTGATGACTTTCAGGATGTATATGATGAAAAGAAGTATAAAAGAAAGAAAAAGAGAATACAAAATTGATTGATAGATAAAGATGTTATACCATCATAGAGAAATTTATCAAATATTTGAGTGCATTTGAATGAGTTAGAGAAATAACTTTCACCTATTCAGTGAACAAGAAACATTTATATGCAACTAACAATAGTATTAACTGAGACTGTCAGATAAGTATTTGTAATAAAAAATATTAATGCTATCTGTTAGAATTTCACAAAATCGCATGGTTCTTTTATGTTAACAGTAGAAAAAAAACACTCCAGCATTCATATTAAATTTGTATTAGCATAATGAAGATCCTGACGACTTTAATACAAAAACAATACTGTTTCATTTCTAAAAGATGAGCTTGTAATAATGAACAAGTTTACTTTTTATTGAGAGAGCTGCTAGTGCTTGCATTATGTTAATGCCAGCTTAAAGAGAATCCCAAACTATCGTGTTTTTTATATAAGCAATAACATAAAACTAGTACGTAGTTTATTAATGTGCATAAAACATTCTATGTCAAAATCGTTCAATCGAAGTTTTGAAGGGTAAAAATACTTCCGAATATTTGAAGTAGAATCTGATACCATATGATGTTAGGCTTTTCATACTGCGGTATAAAAATAGTTTTCATCACTACTAACAGAAAATAGTAAGCCAACACTCTTAATATGGATTCTGTTCAGTTATAGAGGCGATTAGATGAAAAGTGCCAAGAATATTGATACCAAACGTAATTTCGCTATCCAGCTTTCACATTATGATTAACTAAACTGTTAATATTCTAGCACCAGCATCATTTGCACAAGCTCGTATTTGGCTTGATGAAAGAATTCGATTCGATCCAGACAAGCCTCAAATAGCAATCTATAATATGCCTTTTGTTTATCGTCTGCAACCAGGTCATACTTTATCAATTAAACAACTTCGTCATGCACTTTATCTCACTATTAA